GGCAGGGCCTGGCCGGGAAGAGGAGGTCAGAGGACGCTAGGGGCTTGCTAGGGGTGGGAAGGAGATGACAGCCCCTGGGGGGAGGGCACAGACACTCCAGGTCAGCTCCAGCCAGGGTCCCTCGCAGCCCTTGGAGACCTGGACAGGGAGCCGACCACAGAGGCTGTCTCCACCCCACTCCATGCCCTCTGCCCCCAAGCTCTGGCCATTGACCTCAGCCTTCAGTCCCCACCACCAAAACATCCCACCAGAGTCATCCCTGGCCCTTTCCCATGGGTTCCCTGGACTACCTGCGAGGCTATACCCTGGGAGCCTGTCTGGTGCCTCACTGGTCTGCTCTGTCATCCCTAGGGCGCCCCAGGCCCCCAGTTCCAGCCTGCCCAGGGCCAGCCCCTTCCTAGGGCCCTGAACCCCAGAATCCCTTTCTCCTTCTCCTCAATGAGAACGCCCCCATGGAAACTCCCATGAACACCCTACCCACAGCTAGCTCCTGTTTTCCAGCCTGGGGATGGCAGCACCATCGTCCGGAAACCCGGCCGGGGCCTCAGCTTGCCTTGCTTCGTGAGGGGCAGGTAGATCCCCCGGGGGAGCAGCCTACTCCCCTCCTGTCTTCCCTATAGGCAAATCAGTTTGTATCCCTGCCTCTTCTGTGATCACTCCCCAGTGGTACAACATGTGCTGGAAAAGACAAGACCTGGACTCCTCACAGTAAATGGCAAAGGGCCCTGCCCTGGCCTCGCTGCCCCGCCTCACTCTGGCCAGCATGCTCCCGCTCTGACAGAAGGGCCCTTCCCGAGTGGCTCCACGAGTCAGGCTGCCACCAGGACCCCCCAGCAGCGCACACAGGCTGATGCCCCGCCCTTGTTCCACACGCCCGACGGCCCCGCCCTTTCTGCCTCCCAAGCCGGACCCTACCATCAGCAGGTTCTCTGTGAGGATCAGCTCTGAGAGGTTCTCACAGTCCCCGATGGCCTCGGTCACCTCACACAGCCGGTTCTGGTCTACCTTTAGGATGGACAGCTGCTTCAGCTGACCTGGCACCGGGGAGACAGGGTGACACGGCTGAGCACAGGCCCCAGACGTGCCTTACCCACCTGGCTAAAGGCGCTCTCGAGGCAAACAGCGAGGCCCCCAGCCCCTCTTGCCGCCGCCATACTTCGGGAGGACCCTACCTACCTTGCCCCCACAGCCTGACCCAACCTCCTTTGAGAAAACACCAGGCCCCAGGGACGCTGCCCACCCTTCTGCCCCTCCAGCACCACCAGCTGCCTCCTCAGCCTTCGGGGCTGCCCCAGGGTCCCACCTCCCCTCCCCTCCTCAGGCACAGCTCCCAGAGCCTGGGCAGACTCAGGATCCTCCTATGTTCCATACCACACACGGCCCCAACGCCTCATGCTCCTCCCAGGGCCAGGCTCTGTGCGTCCCACCCGGGCACCCCCAGGCACACTAACCGATGCCGTCCGGCAGCCGCCGCAGCAGGTTCTGGGACAGCAGCAGGTCAGTGAGCAGCACCAGCCCGCCGAGCTCAGCAGGCAGCTCCTCCAGCCGGTTTTCCGACACGTCCAGGCACACCAGACGCCGCAGGTTCCCAAGCTCCTACAGGCAGGCGAAGAGTCAGAGTGCGGATGGGCGCGAAGCAGGGGGCCAGCCCCACCCTGACTCACCGGGGGCAGTGCTGACAGCTGGTTCCGGTCAAGCCACAGCTCCCGAAGATTAGGCAGAGCCCCCAGAGTGTCCGGCTGCAAAAAAGAACAGAGAATAGTGACTGCGGGGCAGGGCCTCCTGCTGTGCCGTGCCCAGGAGACTACATGGCCCCATGCCCAGCTCCCCCCGCCTGCCCTCCTGATGTGCCCCTTGCTGTTGGATCTGCTCGCTGTCCCCCTTTCTTTGCCCTTGCTTCTCGTGGCCCGCCCTCTGGTCTCCACCCTGTCAGGCCTCTGCGCACCAGCACTTCCAGGTCGTTGCCTCCCAGATCCAGCTGTTCCAGCTTGACCAGAAAAGACAGGGACCTGCAGAGAAAGCAAGGTGGGGGTGGGGCCATGTAGCCCTGGTCCCTAGGCCGTGGCCCTGCCCTGGCGGTTGGGAGAATGCCCGTCACACTCACGCTGGCAGGGACTTGAGCAGGTTCTCCCGGAGCTCCAGGGTCACCAGGTTGGCAAGGCTAAAAGAGAGACCAAGGGCTGAGGCACGAGGAAGGCAGGCAGCGGTGGCACGGGCAGGGCCAATCCAAGCCCCCCATCCCACCCTGACTCCACGTGCGAGGGCACTCACTTGCCCACGTCCCCGGGCAGTGCCTGCAAGGACACATCATTCAGGGCCAGGTGAGCCAGGCTGCGCAGTTGAGTGAAGCCATCGGGGAGCCTGGATGGGAGGAAGCAGAAGCTGTCAGACAACCAGACCATGGCTGTGGCATCCACAGCCCCTACCGACCCCACCACAGACTGCCACCCACCTGGAAAGGGGGTTCCCGCTGAAGTCCGCGATCTCCAGAGCCTTGCAGAACTTGATGCTCTCTGGGATCTCAGGGATATCTATTACAGAGGATCACAGTGGACAGATGCTATGGCCTGCAGAACGTCTGCAGCCCCAGCAGACACTCCCCAGACTCCACCCAGCCCCTGCCCAGGCTCCCCACCATTCCGGGACACGTCCAGCTCCACCAGCTGCATGAAGTTGGCCACCTCGGGAGGTAACCGCTGGATCTCGTTGTCGCTCAGGCCCAGCTTGCGCAAGTTCAGCAGCCGGAAAAAGGGCTGTGGGCAGGGAGGACACGGACTCTGTGGCAGAGTCCACTCCAGAGCAGAGAAGAGCTCCTGGACACGTGGGTATCACAAGCCAAGGGTCCCTAGGCCTCTGCCTGCTCCAGGTCACACAGGATCTTGGGGTCTAACCATGACACCCCGTTTGTGGCAACAAAAGCAAAGAAACACACGGTGCACATGCCCACTGTGTCCACCTCCCTCCACTCTTCACACCAGCCTCTGCTCTGAGAAGGCACCTGCTGGTGACCAGACAAAACTCCAATCCCCTGCACTGTGTCTTATCTCGGCCTACCCAGGCCCCGAACCACTTCTGCCACCCTCCAGGGGGCTCACACTGGTCTCTGCTACTGTATCCCAATAACAAGCCTGGCGTGGTTCTGCAGTAAGAACTCAGCAAGTGCTCCCCCTAAAATCGTTAACAAAAACAGCAGAGTACCACAGGCACGGTGCTATGTGTAAAGCCTGCAGGTGACCACGGAGAACCGTGCTGTCACTGCCAGGGCCAGAGCAGGGTCACATTCTTTGGGACACCCAACCCCTAGGTATTGGCCACTCAACACCCCATCTCCAGTAAAGAGATACTTCTTAATCTGTGTTTCCACCTCCTTTCTTGGAGCAGCCTGAGGAGAGCAACTGACCATGAGAAGCAAGGGCAAAGAAAGAGGAACAGCGAGCAGATCCGAGTGCAAAGGCCACATCAGGAGAGCTCCCCCACTCACCCCTGCACCCAGGAAGAAAAGGAGAGGAGGCCTGGACCCCATCTCCAGAACAGCCCAACAAGTAGTACTCATCAGTCACCTGAATCCAAGTTCCACCCTAATCCCATCGACCTCCCCGAATCCCCATGGTTTTCATTCTCAGGCTCCTCCTCCAGGCGCGGTGACAATCGCTATCCCCAGGCAAGCACCTGATGACCGCTGCCACCTGCGCCAGCCAGGGCGGCTGGGAGAGGAGGGTGGGGCTGGCTAGGGTGGGGACCTGGCCAGTGCAAACCAGCAGGGCCGGCTGGAGGCTGCGGTGGCTCGCCCGGGCAGATTCTGCCACCGGCGGAACCAGGGGCTGGGGACGCGCCTTTGGGCGGCAGGTGCGGGCAGCCGCTCACCTTGGGCAGCTCGCGCAGCTGATTGGCGTCGAGCAGCAGCTCCTCCAGGCTGCGGCTGTAGCGGTAGATCTCCTCGGGTACGGCCTGCAGCGAGCAGTGCCGCTTGTCTACCGACTCCACGTGCCGGTTGCAGCGCCACAGCGGGATGCACTTGAGCATGGTGCGGGTGGGCGGCGCGGGCTCCGGCGGCGGCGCTCGGCGGGCTCGGGGCCGGGGGGCGGGGCTCAGTCCGCATGGGCGCCGCGCATGGGGAGGGGGCGCAGGCAGGGGGCGGGCCGCCGGAGACTGGACGGGGACGCGGCCGCGGCCGGCGCTGGGCCCGGCCCGCGCTCGAAATGCTCGGACTGCGGGCCTGGGCAGGGGGCGCGGCCCGGCAGATCTCACACTCTAAGGAGACGGGGGAAGCGGCGGCGGCGGCTCCGCATCCCGCTTGGTCCCACTCAGCTCGTCCCGCTCGCTCGTCCGCCCGCCGTGCCGCACCGGAACCGCCGCTGCCCGCCGGACTGCCCCGCCGACACCCACCCGGCCGCCGCGCAGCCCGTCGGGAAGCCGAGTCCGGCCCTCGCCGCCCAGTACGCCCGGACTGCGGCCCCCAGAAGGCCCCGCGCGGTCGCCTCCGAGGACCCGTAGCAGCCCCGCGCAAAGCCTGCCGGGAAACCGGGCCCGCCCCGCGCGTGGGATTGCGGGAGCTACAGTCCACGAGAGGCCGCGCCCTCCGTAGCCGTTTTCAGCCGGCCCCTGGCCACGAATCTCAATGCGCAGCCTCCTCCCGGTTAGCGACCACGCCCGCCCGCCCGCTCCCTCGCCTTAGACGACCGACTCTACGGCACAAAAGCACACTGGCAGCGCGCGCTGTCCAACGGGTCGCGGTGTCTGCCTTCTGTCAGCACCATCCTGCGGGGACGGCTGCGAGCCCGCGCCCGAGCGCCCCAGGCAGCCCCGCCCACCTAGCTGCCGCCACCCGAGGGACGGAGCCCAGGGAGCCAACACCCTGCCCAGGTCTCGCCCCACGGCGGGCCCCGCCTGCTTCCACGAAGCAGGTCCAGAGACCACCCCCACTCCGGCCTCCTCGCCCTAGACCCCCTAAGGACACACACCCAGGATGGGTGACAGGACCGATGGCAGACACACGGACGTTCAGGGCCAGCAGCATCCGCACCTTTATCCGCACTATAGGCTGGGCTGGGCACAGCGCGCCTGGCCCGGGGGACACCACTGTATCACTATAAAACCCAGAGGAAACAAGGAACAAGTGCAAGTCCGGGGGGAGGGGCCAATGTCACGCAGAGAGGTCACTGTTATCAAAACGCTCCTGGTCGTACACTTCAGCCACCACCTTGCGGCCAGCAAACCAGCGCCCATTGAGAGCCTGGATGGCCTTATGAGTCTCGGAGGCTATGGAAAACTCCACAAAGATCTTGACAATGATTTCCGCATCTTCCTCCTCGCCTTGTTTCTCTTGGTAGATGATGACGCGGTTCACGGCCCCGAACTTGCCACACTCCTCTGTCACCTCCCCTTCCAGGTCATCATCGATGTCCTTGGGGTCCACCATGTTGCGCAGAACCATCACTGTGGACTGTGGGGCCGGGGCAAGCGGAAACAGCTGAGTGCTGTGGCCCTGCTCCCTACCTCCCCCACCTCCCCGCTGGCCACCACCCCACCCCTCCGCCTACCTCCTGTTTGCGGAGCAGCTTCTGCATCACCATGTGGCGGGCGCTGCTGCCCGAGATGCTCATGTGCTCCTGCTCGCTCAGCATCTCTGGCCGCTCTGACTCGGGAAACAACTCCTCTTCTTCCTTCTCCTTCTTGGGCTCCAGGAGACCCAGCGTCGGAGGGCTGGCCAGGATGGGGTTCACCACTCCCACTGAGGGGATGGTGACCGGAATAGGAGGACGGGCTGGGGTCACACCTGCAGGAAAACCACTCAGGTCCATCAGTCACTCCCTACCACCCCCCTTCCCAGAAAGGCACAGAACTGACCAGCCATGGCCTGCCCTGGGCTCAGAGGGTTGCGGCCAGACCAACAGGGCCAGGCAGCTGAGGGCAGCGAGCCTAGAGATGCCAGGACAGGAGAGGAAAGGATCTGGTACCACTTAGACTCACCTGTGATGACTCCAGGTGCCTGGGCAGCCATGACAGCCTGGGGCAAAGTCCCCAGGGGCTGGGCCAGGGTCAGTGCTGGGGACACCAGTCCAGGTGTGCCCAGGGTACCCAACACTGCTGCTCCGGCCACTGCTTCCTGCAACCCAAAAGGTCACCATGCTCAGTCCCTGGCCTGGCTACTCAAGACCACCTTGAATCAGTCTCCAAGGAATCAGGGGCCGGCCCACCCACCCTCAAGCTGACACAGATGTGTGGGCCCTCACCTGAGCTGTGATCTTGGCAGTGGCTGCAGCAGCTGCCACAGCAGCGGCAGGTGGGAGGCCTCCAGGCGTGGCCGGTGTGAGTAGGGGCATGGGCGGTGTGACGGCCTTGCCCACCCGCAAGTACTGACCACCGAGATCAAAGAGGTTCATGGAGGACACAGCATCTTGGGACGACTGGGCCTTCTCGTACTCTGTGGGCAGGAGTAGCAGTGAGCAGGGCCAGCCCCAGCCTCAGGTGGCCCCCATCCCGTCTCAGCCGCCCCAGCTCACCAATGAAGCCATAGCCCTTGTGCTTGCCAGTTGTGGGGTCCCGGGCCAGTGTGCAAGACTTGATCTTGCCAAAAGCCTCAAACACACTCTTAATGTCATCGTCTGAGAGGTCCTGGTGCACAGAGGCCACGTAGATGCGGTTGAAGGCCCGTGCCTCCTCAGCCAGCTGGTCTATGATGGGCTGGGCCTGCCCTATGTTGCTGGGTCTGCCCACCTGGGGAAGAGTGGGTGAGATGGAGAGACCTGTCAACCCAGGCCCGGCCACAAAAGACTTCTATGGAGGGGCAGCCCTGCACACCTGTGGGATCAAGGCCTTGGCTCCCCGCCTCACCTTGATATTCCTGCCCCCCAGCATCACCGAGTTCATCTGCTCCAAGGCCAGCTGTGCAGCTTCAGGGACCTCATACTCCACGAAGGCAAAACCCTAGACACAAGCACACACCTGTCAGGCTGCACGAGCCCAGGGGTGGGGGCAAGCCCTAAGTGGCCAGGGCAGACCAAACCTGCTGACCTTGTGCTTCATGGTGACAGAGTCCCAGGACATGTCGATGCTCTTGATGGGACCAAAAGGGGCAAAGGCCTGGCGGATGGTGTCCTCCCCCAGCTCGTAGTAGATTGAGCCCACGTAGACACGGCACATGATGGCCAGCGCCCGCTGCCGCTGAGCCGCCATCTGCAGCAGGACAGAGGGGAGAGAACCGCTGGCTCGTCAGGGGCGGCAGGAGGCTGGGCAGCCCACTCCCCTCCTGGCCCACCCACTCAGCCCTGCTGTGGGTAGGGCTCCTCACATGGCAGGGAGGTGCGGGCTCCATCCCTGCAGTCAGGGTGAGGGGGTCGCAGGACCCTGCCACCCAAAGAAGGCAGGCCAGGCCCAGCGGCAGGACAGGACGCACCCCAGCCCGCCAAGGTCCCAGGCAGACTGTGGCAGCAAAGTCGACAGATGGTCAGGAGGCAGGGCTGCGCGCCCTCCCACCCAGACCACCCCTCCAGTCTGGGGGCTGGGTATCCCAGGCTGGGCTGGGAGTTCCTCCCACTGTCCCAGCCAAGGACCACGACAGAAGAGGGAAGGAGGAGCCATCCAAGCTGGAGGGACCCACTGGTTTGGTGGCCAGAAGAGAGGAGGTCAGAAGACAGGGCAGCCACTGCCCAGAAGAGACCCCAGGGGAGGAGCTGAGGAGCCAGATGGGGGCTCCCTGAAGAAAGAACGAGGAGCAGCTGCTCATGCGGGGCCAACTCCGGTAGGGGCTCATGCTGCGCCTTCCCAGTACCCTGCAACTCCTCACAAAGGAGCTGCCTGGAGCCCGTGCCCACAGCCGAGCGTGGGCCCAGGCGAGACCACTGGCCTGGCCCCCGGGGGCACCATGAGGTAGCAGAGACCCTAAGAGAAGCCTTCAGGCTCCTTGGAGCTGGTGAGGTGACAGGCCTAGCTGGTCCAGGGCCTTGGCTGTGAGCTTGGCTATTATGCTGAGGGACCTCCCCACACCCTCAGGGACGGGTTCTCGCCCCTGCCACCTCACAGGAGACGTGCCAGGCTGGGGACTTCCAGAGCCACACGCAGTGGACCACAGGGAGACTGTGGGCCAGGGCAGGCAAAGCAGGCAGCTGGAGCCAGGCCCTGCCCCTCTCCACACAAAGCCTTGTGGCCAGAGACCAGTTTCCCTCTTTAGACATCAGCAGGCCTAATGCAGGCTGAACCTCCCTATCCCATGGAGAGGAGCCTGGAAGCATCTCTCCACATCAAGGGACTTCCCAAGGTGAGACATCTTCCTTCAAACTAGGCATTCCCTGAAAATGAGACTGTGTTCTCCTTAAACTGGGCCCCCTAACAGACCTCAGGCTCCCCACTCAGAGCAAGCCCCCCAAAGGTGGAATCACAACCCCCTCAGTCAGCAGGCTCCCCAGACACAAGACCAGGCTTGTCCCTCAGGTCATGTTCCCCCAAGACAGGGCTGTGTCTCCTTTTCAGTGTGGGGCCCCACCCCCAGGCAGGTCAAGAGCTCTCTCCCTGACCAGACCCCCAGCCCAGATTCCCATTCAGATGCTTCCCAGAGAGAACAAGGCGTGTGTTGCCCCATGGGAGCCACACACACAGGGATGCCCCCTCTGAATAGAGGCTCCCAGAGAAGGGGCCACATCTTCCCCTCAGGATCCCCGAGATGGGGCCTGGCCTCCTCCTGAGCCTGCCTCTGGGGGAAGGGAGGGGCACCTCCTTCCCGGACTCCTTTGCCCACCACAGCGAAGGCCATAGCCGTGGCCCCTGCCTCCTTCGCCCTGGCTGCATGGCCTCTGCCCCTTGCTGACAGCCAGGCACAAGGCCCTGCTTGCCCTTCCCTTGCTCGCTTGGGTCCCCCCACCCCCACCCCATCCATCCATCCTCCCTCCAGGGTCTGATGGGGCCATGAGTTAGGACCCCTCTCTCCTCAGGGGCCTGACCCCAACCCAAGAGCCAGGCAGCCTGGAGACTGACGGGGCTGGAGGCCGTAGGCGCACCCCGTGCGTGCAGGCGGCGTGGGCACAGACGGGCCTGGTGCCGGCAGCTACCCGCCCTGGCCGGCTGCCCTCCGCAGTTACCTGGCCGATTAGTTTTAAGGTGGGCCCTCAGAGCAGATGGAGGCCTCCCCAGGGGCGGTCCCGGGTGGGTGCCCACACCACTGGCCCCACCACGCCTGGCGCTCTGCTGCGCTCGTCCAGAGCTGGCGGGCAGGGCCGGCCAGGGGAGCAAGGTCCCCAGCACGTGGGCTGCACTGCCCCCCTCTAGCCCTGACTAAGGACATGAGCCCCGGAAGAAGTGAGCATTTCTATTGACCGATTGCAAAGGTGAGAGAGGATCTCCAAAGCCCATTGTCACTGCTGCCATCTGAAAGACAGTAAAGACAGAGTTCAGTCTGTTGGAGCCGAGCAGTCTCCCGCTCTCGTCAACACCTCACGCAGACAGCGGCAAGGCCCGGAGTCCCCGCCCTGCCAGGGAGGCCGCCTGCCTTCCCACACTGCCGGCCGCCGGCACCTGCCCAGGGGGGCCGCAGCGCCCCATGTGCCCCGCCCTGCAGCCTTGCAGCTGGGCTGGCCGGGGCAGAAAGGAAGGGAGGGAGGGAGGAAGGGAGGGAGGGAGGAGGGCAGTGGAGCGCAGTGTACAGCCAGGACAACTCCTGGCAGCGTGAATGTCTGAGGGCTGGGCGGGGGGCGTGAGGCTCGAGGCCCAGGAACCTGTCGGCCTCACACCGGCCTCTTCCCACGAAGGTATCGCAGCCTCCGGCCACAGGCCTAAAGCAGGGCCCCAGGGCAGGTGCCTCTAGACTGTCCCCTCAGTCCTGGGGCTGAGCCCAGGTGGTCTGGACTCACTGCAGGGGTGAGGGCCTGAGCAGTCTTATCCAGGCCACGGGGGCAGGGAGGTCCACGCCCTGCATGCTGCCACCATCAGCTGCGCACAGCTGGGGCGGGAAGCACGGGGGAGACCAGAGGCCACAGTGTGAAGACCAGCAAGGGGAACAGGATAGAGCTACAGCCAAGCAGCCAAGAAAGGGGCTGCGGCGCTTTAGGGGCTCCAGCGAGCAACAGGTGGGAAAGGCTGGGCCACTCGTGCCTCAGAGAGGACCCCGGGGGTCCCGAGCATGAGTCTGAGAATCGGAGTACTGTAACAGCTTGCGGGGATGACCGCAGGCACAGGAGGAGGAAGAGCGTGAAGAGGAGGAGATGGTGGTGGTGGTGGGGAGGGCGGTGGAGGCTCCGGCTGGGGCTCACCTGCAGGTTGGTGAGCTGCTGCTGCTGGTGCGCGATGGTCTGCTTCACCAGCACGCTCTTGATGCTCTGCTCCATGGCGTACTTCTTGGCCTGAGAGAGGTGGCAGTGAGGAGCACTGGGGGCCCGGCCCATGGGAGACAGGCCTGCCCCGCACCCTGCCCCTGCCCCCAGTTGACTGGCCCACACCTGCAGTGCCCTGGGAGGTCCGTGCTCACCTTCTGAAGGGCCTCCTGCTGCTCGGGCGTCAGGGGAGGCAGCCCCAGCTTGGCGGCTGTGCTCTGCCCGTTCTCCATCTTGATGGAGTCTGTGCCCTGGTAGGGGAGCAGGAGAATCTGTCAACAGCAAGCTCAAGTTCTCCTTCACATGGCCCCAGGAGTGCCACCCCACCTGTCTCCCAAACACTGCACACGGGCTCTGGCCCAGCCCCTTCCCAGAGAGACAGGGCCTTAGCACAGACTATCCTCTGCCTGGCCTGGACTCAGGCCTGCCCTTCTGACATTGCTGTCCCCAGCCCAGGCTGCTGTCTCCCCCAGGACCCATGGGGTAGAACACAGACAGAGGCAAGAAGGTGCCCTGGAAGCCCTGGGCCAACCTGAGCAGTTGTGGGGCCCAGGCCACAGTGGCCTCCTCGGGCGCCACCAAGATAAACAGCTGGAGGCAGGAAAGGGGTCCGGCCCCTTGTTGTCAGTCTGACTCCAGAGCTGCTATCGCATGCCCTGCAGGAGGGCCAGCCTCAGCTGTCCTCCAAGGCAGGAAGGCAGGAGAAAAGGGCCAGGGCTCTCTGGACATTCCGGGACTCCTTGCTCCCAGGCTCCTCTGGGATTCCTCACAGTCCCTGCCACAGACACAGGCTCAGCTTCCCTGGAGTTTCAAGGGGCCATCCAAGGAGCAAATACAAGGGCCTCTCTCCCTACAGTGTTCTCCCGCCCCCCCCCACCCCCAGTCCCCGCAGGCGCTGTGCACACCTCCCAGAGAACACAGGCCTCTCTCGGGCCACATGAGCCCTGCAGAGGGCTCCAGCTCACTCACACACACTCTTGCATGTGCTGTGCCTGGCCCACTGGGAGAAGCCAGGAGCAGACCCACCGGCGCCCCAGCCAGGTGGGCCTGGGGACCAGGAGGCCCTTGGGCAATCACAGCCACTGCAGACCCAAGCTGATGCCAACCAGGACTATGTTTACATCCCTTCTGTCAAAATCCATCTCTAAGCTTTTTGCAGAGGGAAGAACGCAGCTGCGTGGCAGGGAGGCATGGCCAGCAGGCCCAGCAGAGTCGGGGTGGGCAGACAGCATGCCTGCGCCTGTCCCCCAGCTCGGCAAGCACAAAGACCACTGGCCTACCAACTGGGCCCTCCCAGACTTCCAGATGCAGCCTTGAGGGACAGCAGAGAAGAGAGAAGGGTTCCCAGCAAGGACAGAGCAAGGACAGAGGGACACAGGAGGCAGGAAGGGACAAGGCTGGCCTAAGCCCCAAGAACCCCTTCCTGCTTGCCAAGTGCTGGGATGCTGGCCCAGGCTCAAAGGGCAAGAAGCCCTGGAGACCCCTCCCCAGGCAACTGGAGCCCCAGCCAGTCCCTGAAGGTCAAAGGCTGGCTGTGGGTGGCACCAGGTGCCCCAGTCCGGCTCACACTAGACCTGTCCTTGCCACCCTCACAGCTGGCCCCAAGCCCATTCCTCCTTAGTGGGAAAGAGGGCCCAAGAGCCAGAGGCTGGGACTTGAGAGACAGGCTGTCACCATGGTAATCAATGCCAATCCCCTCAACCCCCAGACACTTTTCAATCTCCTCTTTGTCTTGGTAAACAAAAGGCCCTTCTCCCACCAACCAATGGTGGGCTGGGCGCCAGCCAAGGGCCAGGGAGCACCAGCCCCCACATCTCCCAGGATCCAGGCTGCATACCATGTCCCAGTCCCACCCCCTAAGCGTGCCTGGGGGACCAAGAGGAGGGCCCAGCCCCAAGAGGCCTCCCAGGCCACCTTGCTGAGGCCCCGCTGGAATGCTCTGGAGGCGGGCGCTGCCATGGAGAAGCACAAAGAACCGACTACACAGCCCCAGGCCCAGCTCCACCTCCGAGAGGACCCGCTCCCAAGGCTGGGCCATCGAACAGGCCAAGACCCACCCGCAGCCACTCTGGAGCCTGGGGCGGAAAAAAGACGGGGAGGGCTGAGTCCCAGCCAGACCCGTGCTCTGATGTGCGCGTTGCTTCGTTGTTTTATTTAAAGTAAAACACAGAGGTCTGAAATGAAATCTATATTTCTGGCTCCTAAAGCACTGCACGTTCTAGAAACCTTGGTCCACCCTTCCTGCAAGATGCCTAAGAACGCGTGAGCTCCAGGCCCCGGCATCCCCGCCCGGCCAGACTGGCAACAGGCCCTGCCTGGTGCTTGGAGCAGGGCAGATGCAGAGGGCAAAGGCTGGCTCAGTGGCTGGGTGGGGAGGATGCAGGACTGGCGCAAGGCGAGGGCCGTGGTTCTGCGGGCAGTTGTCTGCCCAGAGGCAGAGAAGGGTTCCCGAGGTTCCTCCTGCCCTGCCCCCAGTCAGCCCTCTCTGGGCCCAGGGACACACAGGCAGGCAGGCGGGCGGGCGGGCCTGAGGGAGAGGATGCTTAAGGTCAGTACCTGTGGAGGTTTCCATTTGTCTCCCGCTGCCACCACTGCCGCCGCCGCCGCCGGCTCGGACCCCCCTCCTTGCTGGCCATTGACCTGCTGCAGGCAGGAAGGAGATGTTTTAACGGACAGGCACACCACCCCACTGCCCAGGCCTGCTCTCCTCCCAAGCTAAGGGCTGAGCTCCTCACAGATAAACAAGGGAGGCCGGGCAAGGATGCATTTCCGACACGACCCCCCAGCCCAAACTGCCCTAGCTTCACACCCGTCAGCACGCCCAGGGAGCTGGTCAGAAGCAGAGCGGAGCCTGGGCTGGGCCAGGGCTGCCAGCAAGTCCAAGCAGGGGCAGGGAGGAGGATAGAGAGCACTGTGCTCCTGTCCCAGGCAAAGAAAGCCATCCTCTCCTGCCAGCAGGCTGGATGGTCAAAGGAACTGGCTGGCTGTCCCCCATGTCCTCCTGAGGCAGCAAGGGTGCCTTCCTGGCAACCTGTACACACCTTGGCCAGCCCACAACTCAGCCCCAGCCCCAGCGCCACAGCTCTGGCCAAGCCCAGGTGCAGTTCTCTCCTGAGAAGACAGCACCCCAAGCAGCATGGTGGGCGGGGGTCTGGACACGCAGGCCTCCTTCCCTGGCAACCTGTGCACACATAAGCAGCCACAACAACTCAGCCCCAGCCCCAGCGCCTTTGACCTCTAGCAAGCAAATCCCAATTCTCTCACGAAAGAACACAAGCAGCATAGTGGGCAGGGAGTCTGGACACACAGAGCCCCTCCTTCTCCTGAAGACACTTTTAAGCAGCATGGTGGGCAGGGGTCTGGACACACAGGCCTCCCTTCCCTGGCAACAGAACCGTCCAGAGCAGTCTCCCAGGAGGACGGCCAAGAACTTGGCCTCTGCGCTGGGAAAAACCCACACCTAAAGGGGCACAGAAGGGAGTAGCAGCTCCACAATGGTCTTGAGGGATGGCAGGGCAAAGGCAGGCCATGGGCAGGAGACGGGTAACGTTGTGGGGGTCAGGAGATGGTGGAAGGGTCTTGAGACCTACTCTACCTTCTTGCACAACAAGAACCAAGGCAGCATGCAGTCAACCCGCTCCCAGCTCAAGGATGAGACCCACAGTATCTAAGGACAGAAGAGATCAGTGTGCCCACCCTTGGAGCCATGTGCGCAAAGCCAGAGGCTGGGCTGACCCACCAGAGCGTCCCAGGTCCTCCAGCCTCCAGAGGAGGGGCAGCAGCACAAGCCCAGCTGCACTGGGGAAGGCCAACCCAGCCCGTGCCAGGAGCTAATCCCGATGCTGCCGGCACCGGTGTGCTCTAAATGCCCAACTCAGCCCCACACTGCCTAGACACCGTACCTCGGAAACAATGGCCCCTCCCACTGCATGCACAGCCAGAGGAGAGGCTGCCTCTTCTTTTTTTTGAGACAGGGTCTGGCTCTGTCGCCCAGGCTGGAGTGCAGTGGTGCAACCACAGCTCACTGCAACCTCCACCTCCTGTGACTACAGGCATGTGCCACCACACGCAGCTAATTTTTGTATTTTTGGTAGAGATGGGGGTCTCCATGTTGCCCAAGCTGGTCTCAAACAATCCACCTATCTCAACCTCCAAAGTGCTGGCACTACAGGCGTGGTCCACTGTGCCAGCCAAGGCTGCCTCTCACTGCCCACAGGAAGAGATCACTTCAGGTCATCTCCAGATACCCGTGAACAGGGTGAACGGAGGGGCACTTTCGTAACTTCCTGCTCCCCCAAATCACTGCACTAACCAACAAGTGAACCACACAACAGTGCTGACAGTGGGATGTGGCTCAGAAAACTTTTTCTTGGGAAGAGCTGGCCCACCGGTGCCTTCTACACAGGACATCCCACGCCATTCCTGGCAGATGGAAGTTCCTACCTGCATGGAGCTTAGGGTTCTGTGCTAACCAGACGCTGGGAAAGGTTGGAGGAAAGTGGTGTTTATAATCGCAGCTAGTCACGTACTGCCATCTTTAGGCAATGAAAATGGCGGCTTTATGGTCAGGATGCCCCCCAGCACCAGGCAGCAGTGCTCGGAGGAATGGGAAGCCCCTTTGAGGGGTGGTGCAGCAGAGGGGCTCTGAGGTGCCAACTCTGGGACCGCCTTTCCTCAGCCCAGAGCAACGAGGAGTATTTCCATCAGAAAACAAGAAGAGCAATGTAGGGGCTGGACGTGGTGGCTCACACCTGTAACTCCAGCACTTTGGAGACCGATGTAGGAGGATCACTTGAGACCAGCCTGGGTAACATAGCAAGATGCCATCTCTATGAAAAAAAAAATTTTTTTAAGTAATGTGTCCAGACACAGTGACTCATGCCTGTAATCCCAACACTTTGGGAGACCAAGGCAGATGGATTGCTTGAGGTCAGGAGTTGAAGACCAGCCTGGCCAACGTGGTGAAACCCTATCTCTACTAAAAATACAAAAATCAGCTGGGCATGGTGGCGGGCACCTGTAATCCCAGCTACTGGGGAGGCTGAGGTGCTACCATGAATTGCCTGAACCCAGGAGGCGGAGGTTGCAGTGAGCCGGGATCACCCACTGCACTCCAACCTGGGCGATAAAGCGAAACTCCGTCTCAAAAAGTAATGTGGAGCGAATGACCGAAGGTCCCAAGGCTTCAGGCTCCTCAGCTGGGAAGGGGGACAGCCTGTCTCCTAGGGCTACTGTGAAGATTTAGTCAAATCCCGGCACCCCCCCACCCCTCCGCCTAACCCCACAACCTGCAGTCCCTGCACATGAAAAGCAGCAAAGCAAGCCACAGGTTCCAGCAATCGTCAGTATTGTTAACATCTAGCGTCAGATACCCAGGGCAGAGCTGGCTGCAGGACACTGCTTTCTATCTGTCAGTTCCCTTCACACAATGAACACTGCTTACTGCATGCCCAGGCTCCACACTGAGCACTGCAGAGGCAGCAGAAACAAGACAAGAGAGAAGGATATCTCTCTCAGGAGCCTGGTGTCAGCTGCCAGCAAAGAATGCTGAAATCAAAGATGACTTCTGTGTGTACTAAGCAAGCACAGGATAAGAAAGAAGTGGCTATGAGATGTGCCAGGCCACGGCATCCAGGGGGCCTACGAGGTGACATTGCAGGCTGGGACCTACAGAAGAAAGTAACTGGAACCCCAAGGGTGATGACCCCAAATGAAAGCCGTTTGGGCTGTCAGTGAAGTGAATAATGGAGCCACGTGCCAAAGTGAAAAGATGCACCCAGAAGACCTACCCTTGCTGCGAAGAGGCAGCCGGCCTCATTCTGCAGCCACCAGGCAGAAGCCCATGGGAGGGGAGGCCCTTCTGCATCTTCCGGCTTCTTCTCCACCAGGCCACTGTCTATAAGTTCAGCTGCTCCATTCAACCTCCCATAAGAGCCGAAGCAGCATGAGACAGAGGACAGGCTCTCATCACTGTGCCCAACCAGGATGGTGGGGAACAGATAACCCTTCTAGAAGCCTTTCCAACTCAGTGATGAAAAGAGGAATGGGTTAGACCACAGGCTACAGCTCATTCCTGGAGCCTGATGCAATGAAAAAGCATGTATTAACCCCAACAGAATTGGGATGGCAACAAACACCCCAACTGAGAACCTGTTCATGGTGTCAGTTATGACCCACGTCCAACTCAACAATGACACCAACTATCTGGCACCATGCCACAGCAGACCTGAGCCCCCATTTAACCCTCATGAGCACAAGGCGCTGTTCTGCGGATGCTTGGGGAGTGAGGCATCCATTCTCCTCCTCCACCTTGCCAGGTGTCCAGTCCTTGTCTCTGAGCCTCCTCCTCCTTCACCATCAACTCTCTGCTTCCTGGAGACAGTCACCAGGTTCTTAACCTTACTTCCTTTCCCTCTGGAGTGCCCCTCAAAGATAACTTACTCCCGTGGCTTCAAGAGAAAAGACATGATAGAAAAAGTGGGGTCAGCCAGCCCTGTGAATCACACACTAGGCTGCCCTCGCAAGCTACGTATCTTGTGCAAATGCCTCTCTCCCCCTATTATGGGGCCTGGCAATGGCAGTCTAAGGACAATCCCTGGTCCTGTCAGTCCAGCCTTCAGCCACTTGCTCAAGTTGTCTTCTCAAACAGACCTTATCCCATCCCGCTGGATGTGGGCTGGGGGGAGAGTGGCAAGTAATAAATGGGTAAACTGTGGCTAAGAGAGATCCAAAACGGGATTAAGTCCTATAAGCTAAGTGGTAAGGAAAAAAACCAGACTTCATCGCGCATGTGTTGTGTGCATGGATGTTCTCCCCCTACGTTAATAACGCCTGCCCTGCCCGGGGAGGTGGGCACTGAGCAGAGCAGGGGACGACTCACTCCTCTGGATGCCCACGCAGTTCCCTCGGGCGCCCAGCAAATGGTACCCTGGGTGGGAACTTACTTCAGGTGGGCACCAGACCTCCGACTGCCTGTCTGGTTCCCCATTGTGTCCCCAAATCCTCCCACAGAGCGATTTCTCAAAAACTGTAGCATGAGAAAGCACGTCCTTCTTTCCCAAGTGGAGACAAGAGAACAGAGATAACCATATCCCTCTACAGCACCGGAAAACGAATTCACAGCTGCAGGCGTAGTGAACCAAGGCCACCCCACGCTCTGAGTTGCAAACCCCTTTCTACAGATCCCGTCCCCTTCTAATCCTATCAACCCGAAGGCCCACGCATCATCCCCAGGAACCCGCTTCCGTCGTGACCACGGCGCACATCCCAGTCGGCAAAGAGAGAACGACGACCCCCGGCTGCCGGACCTAGCGGGTAGGAACGCGACCCCGCTAGGCTCGCCCGCCCGGGCCACATGCAGCGCCCGGGCCCCCGCGCCGCCCCGCCCCGCCGGAAGCTGGGGTCCGCAGACCGGAAGCTGGGGCCGCGAGCCGGCCGCCCGCGCGCACCCGCCCCGCCCCCGCCTCACTTGACCTGGGGACACAAGGGAGTCCGCGCGGGACCTGGGAAGACCGCCGCGTTCTTGGGAGGCCCTCCGCGCCCAGGCTGGGCCTACGACCCGGCCCCGCAAGCTGAGGGCCGCCCGCGTCACGGGGGGCTCACTTACGAGAGCTATGGTCGCCGTCGCCATCTTGCGTCCGTCGCGGCCACCGCGCGCACCACCCACTCCTGCTCCTTCCGCGGTCTCGCGCGATCTGGGCGCCGGCGCACGGAACTCTCGCGAGGAAGGAAGTAAGAACGCGCTTCCGGGGCGGGGAGGGACAGTTAACGCCCGCGGGAGGGGCGACGGAAGGGGCGTGCCCTTGGCCGGGCGAGGGGAGAGGTCTGTGCAACATGGGCGTCCGGGGGCGCGCGCGGCAGTACTCGAGCCGGGCGTATCTCGCCGCGTGGCCGACGCGGGAGCGCGTGGTGGCCTTCGCTGCCCCTCTCCCTTGCGGCCACTACTGAGCTTCTCTTCTCTGCCTTTTTTGGAGAAAACGCCGTCGCGGGCGTCGTCCAGAGGCTCTCCTCCGGGAGGCAGGGGAAGGAGCGGGACCCTCCTGGACTGGAGGATTCTCGGGTGATGAAAGGCCCGTGTGTTTCAGGCTCACGTCGTGAGATGCTTCGTCCCCGCGTTGCGACATCCTTGGGGCCGGGAAGCCTCGTTCAATTGGCAGCCTTTTCTCCTTCCAGGGAACAGATGACCGTAGGTTGGCTGACATCAGTCACTAGGCCCGCAGGCCACAGGCCCCCTTAGTACCTGAACTGGCTTTCATGGCCCAAAGTGTTTATCAGTACTGCTGGGAAAGCTGCCCGTCCTGCACATTTGCCATCTGCTGCACCCAGTCCCGAGACCCCAACTCGGTCATCTGAAGAAGCCACATCTGTAAGCTCAGGCACCTTCAGTGCCTGAGGCCACAAGGCATCCCGGGCAGGCCTCCTTTCAACCCTGGGAACGTTTAGAATTTAATAAAGACACCTCTACTTAAATAGGGCAGCATATTCCCCGCCTTCCTCCTGAAACCCTCTGAAATTATAGGAAAGGGGTTTCATAAAGACAAACCCTGCAAGGGCAAAGAGCTGGAATATTGTAGAGCTGGAGGAAGATGGACAGTGAGAGCTACTCCAGCCCACCCGGCCATGGAGGCCGGTGTCTGAGGGTCGTGGGTGAAAGCACAGCTACAGAAAGGAAACCCCAGACCTCTGTCCATACCCACCGGGGCTGGCAGGCAGTGCAGTGGCTGAGACATGAACTCTGGGAGAGGAGCTCTGAGGCCCTGCTAAAGCAAGGCTCTGTCTGAAAGCCTGGGAGTAAGTGAGACTCTGGGTCCTTGCCTTACCTCCACCCCCTGGGCTGGGTCTGACCACCAACATGCCATCAGCCTCCTCAGAGAGGAAGGCTCCTTTCTGCTGCAGCTCCCAGCTCAAAAGAAAAGACTGGCAGGGCAGCTAGGGGCAGAGGGTTGCCCAGTAGAATGGCCCAGCCAGATCGCTGGCCTTGAAGCTCACCAGGCCATAAGCCCCAGCCACTAAAAGCATCTCATGGTTTTTTTTTTTTTTTTTTTTTTTTTGAGGTGGAGTCTCGCTCTGTCACCCAGGCTGGAGGGCAGTGACGCAATCTCGGCTCACCTCAAGCTCCGCCTCCTGGGTTCACGCCATTCTCCTGCCTCAACCTCCTGAGTAGCTGGGACTACAGGCGCCGCCACCTCGCCCGGCTAATTTTTTGTATTTTTAGTAGAGAGGGGGTTTCACCGTGGTCTTGATCTCCTGACCTTGTGATCCGCCCGCCTCGGCCTCCCAAAGTGCTGGGATTACAGGTGTGAGCCACCGCGCCCGGCCAAAAAGCATCTCATTCTTAAAAGCAACTGGACAGCCCAGGATCACCAGACACCTGAGAAAGAAGAAAAGGGACTCAGAAGAAACAGAGACAATAAAGGAAGCCAAAGAAAAATGAAAACTAAAATGCCATTCTCAGAGATATTAGAGGTATTACAGGCAATAAAAAGGAACTGGGGGCTATAGAGAAAGAACACTCGGGATGAGAACGAGCTCTTAGAAATAAAACATGAGGGGAAAGAGCAATTCAATAGGCTTTTTAAGATGAAGTCTTCCAGAATGTATAATGACAGAACTAGATAGCTGGAAAACAGAATAGCAGTAACACAGGTGGGTGCTCTTAGGGCCAGCCTGGCACACAAGGCCTCCACAATGGAGGGGGTGGATGGGTGGTGGGGGGCTGGTCTGCTACCACCACCAGGGGAAGCCACAGGCACCACCCTCTGGGAACAGCTTCCCTTGACAATAAAGTGCACGCAGGGTGCGTGGTGCCCAGCACTGTTCTTATACACATTTACTCATGGGATCCTCACAACCCAGTGCTATGCAATGGGTACAGCTGTTATCCCCATTTTTACTGATGGGCAATGTCACAAGGCAGGGAGCAGCAGAATGGCTCCAGAACCTGTGTTCTTTCCACCACCATGACTGCATCTCAAAAGAGAAGTCCAGGTCAGGCACAGTGGCTCATACCTGCCTTTCCAGCACTTCAGGAGGCTGAGGCAGGAGGATCACTTGGACCCAGGGGTTCAAGACCAGCTTGGGCAATATAGCGAGGCCACATCTCTACAAAAAATAATTTTAAAAAACCAGCTGGGCATGGTGGCACAGGCCTGTAGTCCTAGCTAGTAGGGAGGCTAAGGTGGGAGCATTGCTGGAGCCCAGAAGGTGGAGGTTGCAGTGCCCTGTGATCATACCACTGCACTCCAGCCTGGGTGACGGAGCCAAATCCTGTCTCAAAAAACAAAAACAAAAAATAAAAACCCAAAAAACAGAAACCCAACATCTAAATTGTCCAGAAAATAAGGAAACGAGAGAAATCAACAAAGAGATAAATCACGAAAATTTCCTAGAACCAGAGAGTCATGTTTCCTGAACAATGGGTGAAAGGCAAGTTGTATATCAAGACAAATCATTGAAAATTGTCGAAGTAATGGGGCAAAGAATAAAACAGAAGAGATCATAGGTAAAGAGTCAGAATTCAGAAAGGCACAAGCGTTCTCAGAACTAGAAGAAAATGACACGATACCCTCAAAATCCTGGGAATAAATGATTTTCAACCAAGCCAAGCTTTTTGTAACTAGTCACACTGTCAAGCATATGTGAGGTTAGCATAAAGACAAACAGGTAAAGACTCCGCAACTTCCTATGCACCCTCTCAGGAAACTTGGAGGATGGTCCTTCTCAAACAGAGCAAATGAAGGAAAAAGAAAGCATTCCAGGACACTGGTGAAGAGTTAACCCATGCTGACAACTGGACCATAAGTCCAAGAACAAGTAGCCTGGGCAGGGGGCTTGCATAGTGGGGGCTCCAGGAAAAGAAGAAACTGAGCAGTCAGTTATGTGATGAGTCCTAAGCTGTGAGAGGATGCTCATGCTTTTGCAGGAAAGTCTAAAGATGAATCGATGACAAACACATAGAGAAAACCAGGCAAACAAAAAATAGGCAATTATTAACTCCAGGGAAAACAAAAAGTTGTGCAAGAAATGCCATCCTAGAACACCCTGTTCTCTCCTGTGGCGTGTGGTAATGAAGCTGTAATAACACCCATGCAGCTGTGATGCCCGTCACACTAGAACGATGCCGCATCAGGAGATTGAGGCGGGTGACCACCCTCCTCCCAGAGGATGCTGGCTGGGGACACCTAATGTGAAACAACTAATAAACAGAACTAAAAGCTCATGATTTTGAAAAACATGGATTTCAAATGCCTGAAGAAACAGTTAAGAGAGTTGAATTTGGAGAGGATGAGAGTAGGAGCCTGCCTTTATTATTTATCATTGGCCTCAAAAAAAAAAAAAAAACAAAAAAAAAAACCCCATTCTACTTTAAAAACAATACACATAAAATTCTGAAAAGATAAAAGGAAGAATTCAACAGAGACATGATTAAGTGCAGCAATGGTAGTATTGATGCTTTTAAGTTCAGTTTAATCAGTAGTACAATGTTATGTGTTTGCCACTGAAACCATTTAGGACCGTGAGTAATCAGACAGTTTTACATGAGGGTTTCCATCTAGGATATGGAGATTATTTTAGATTACTAATTTTGAGTTGGAAGTTGTGAGAATTAGAATAATTTTGTAAATAGTATTGGAATATTTAAGATAACTGAGATTCACTATTTTGCACATTTAATTTATTTGATATTCGTTAGTAAGTCTTGCTTTGGTTTTTGGTTGGGGTGCTGTGGTCAGCAGAATGCTACCCTTCCCCAACAAAAGAGTTTCCTTCCTTAATCCCTGGAACCAGTGAATGTTAGTTTACATGGCAAAATGTGTCCTGCAGATGTGTTTAATATTAAAAACCTTGAGGAGGGAGACTATCCTGTGTTATCTGGCTGGGCCCAACCTAATCTCATGAGTCCTTAGGGACAACCTTTCCTGTCTGCAGAGAACCAGAGAAATGTTTCGTGATACAGACTGAAACTGCTAGCTTTGAAGATGGAGGAGGAGGCCAAGAGCCAAGGAATGTAGGCAGCCTCTACAAGCTGGAAGTGGCCTTAGTTTACAGCCAGCAAGAAAGTGGGGACCTTGGCCCTGCCACTGAAAGGATGTGGATTCTGCCAGCAGCCTGAAGAAGCCGGAGACAGAGTCTCCCCTAGAACCTCCAGGAAGGAAGGCAGCCTGCCAGCCTTGATTCTAGTCCAGTGAGACCTGTAGTCAGACTTCCAGCCTACAGAATTGCAATACATTTGTGTTGTTCTAAGCCACTAAGTTTGTGGTAAATTTTACAGCAGCAGTATAGAACTAATACAGTGGTGTGCCTTTCTGGTTTGACATTTGAAATGCTTTTAAAAAGGCATGATTGTGCTAAATTTATACATACAATTTAAAATGTTTAAGGCTATTTCACTAAGTTTGGAATTGGAGGAGAGGCAAGCCAAGAATCAAGAGGCCAGGAAGGCAGGGGTAGAATCCATGGGGGCATAGAAACCTCTAAGACTGAGCCAGGAGTGCAGTGGGAGAGAGGCAGGGAGCCAGGAGCTGACATCCTCAGAGGCCCAGGGAGCAGCTGCCCCAGGGAGGAGGTGCGGGAGGTAACATGGAGGGGTGTGAATCTGAGGAGCAGAGAGGATGTGGGGGCCCTGACCCCTCCAGGCCAGGGGATGCAGGAGAGAAAAAGCCCATTGGAAGGGCTGCAGTGGCCAGAGGAGATCTGTAGAGGGGCTGCAGGTTCTGGTCTCAGGGTGGGTAAGGGTCAAAGAGGTGGCTCCAGGGCAGAGCTGCGTGGGACCAGGGGCTTTGCTGATGACAGCCTCAACTCCAGACCTCTCTGTGGTCTGTTTCTCCTGCCAGGTCCCTGTTGTGCCCAGTGCCATGCCTGACACCTGCAGGTGTGTCACTGCTGGCTTGCTGTGCGGGCTCCTTGTGTGGGTCTATGGTGCCAGCCAGGGATGGCTGCTCTCCCAGACCCCATGGAGCAGTTCCCTGGGCAGAGGTCTGTCCAGGGCTGACCCTCACCCCCAAACCCCAGAGCTGGGGCTCCCTGCAGGGCAGCCTCCTGCATGCTGAGCAGGCAGTGGCCCTGGCCAGGCAGCTTGGGTAGGAACTCAGGGTGGAGAATGGAGGATATGGGAAGGGGTCCTGGGGGCAACCCTGAACCTAAGGACCTGGGAGGCCTAACGGCTCCCCCACACCCACCCCCCACCCCCGCGGCGCCCGAGGCAGGGTCAGCCCCACTCTCAGGAGGCGGGGGTTTCTTCACCACCAGGGCCTTTGTGCTCCCAGGCACAAGGAGGAGAGCAGCCCCGCGGTGCTGGGGTCTCCCCAACATGGCCTGCCTGGGCAGCACCCCGGCATGGTCCCCAGGGGCTGGGGTACTAGGTCAGGCCTGGGCCCCACGGTACTTCAGGAAGGTGCTCTCCAGGAAGGCGGCCAGCTTCATCCGGTCGTCCTGTGGAAGGAGGGAGGCATGGGGGACGGAGGGGCACA